GCAGGACTGATGGCAGCTCCACAGTCTCAGAGGAGTGGAGGCAGCAGGTGAAGGATGTGTCAGAGTCAGGAGACATCACACTGCAGGACTTATCTTCACATCAGGAGGGAATATACACCTGTGAGCTCAGTCATGCTGAGGAGACGCTGATAACTGACACCCCTGTGAAGATAAGTGGAGGTAAAACAGAAAAACGTCCTCTGATTATCTGTAATATGTGTTTGAGGTGCAAACATCAAAGATCACAAAACTCCATCATGAAGCTTCCAGGGACAGAATACTAACTGACTCTTTTTATGTTTCAGGGAGCTCGAGCCAGGTTGAAGGACTCGTGTTTGCTGGGGTTCTAACTGTTTTCATTTCAGCATCAGCAGTCGGTCTGTTGCTGTTCTATAAAAAGATAAAAGGTAAGAAGATGTTATTTCTTCACTTTAGAATGTATTTCTTGTACATTGCGTGTGTTGATGATGTCTTCTGGACTCTGATTATTACTCAGGTCAAGAAGGAAACAACACAAGAAGGCTAAACAATATTGAAACCACGTAAGCAGAACTTTTGTTATTAAACTGCACTGTATGAACTACAATATATGAGAGGACATGTTAAAAGAGAAAACTAAAGTTACAACCAATGTCCTGGTTCTTCATTATTAAAGGTTCAGCTCACTTAGAGTTCAACAACATTTGTGAAATGAAAACATGAAAGACACCGAAGGAGAATAAAGAAGGGTCTGATTTATTTGATATGTTGTTTGGTGCTGAATTATATTTCATTGTATTTGCAGACTTGGAGATAGAAATGCAGGAACACCTTTAGCTGAAGAAACGTGCTGAGAACACCGTTAAAGCTCAGTCAGATGAACTTCAGTCCAGTCCGGTCACGATGGAACTCTGAGGTTTGACTGTATTCATGTATGTAAGCTGTAAATGTAGGTTTTTCACATCGTGGCCTGATAGGACCTCTGGAAATCTTTGAAGGACAACAAAACTTTAAGTCAGAACTAAATTTCAGGAGTTTCTTGTGTTGGCTGTAACTGTGTAAACTGACAAGCTTTCTCTTTTTCTTTTCTTTTCTTTTTTTTTTACCACATTAACAGTACAGACTACTAGCTGTGTGGTGAATATTGTTTACATCTATTGTGATATGTGTATGTATTTATGTCTGTAACAAAGCTGGGCTTAGTTACTGGTGTCCACGAGGTCATTGTTGTACGTTTCAGGAAACATTTAGGGGACACATGTTTATTTATTGTGCCTAAATTTTGTGTTTTCCTTCTTATAATAATATAATTTTTAAAAAATCACCATAAATCTTTTAAAAACGGTACAAATCAGTGCACAGAATGCCTTCCAATATTTGAAATAAATCTACTCGGACATGAGGCTGACTGACACCTGACAGCACACTGATCCAACGTTGCACATCTGGCTGAGTGCTGCACAGCTGTTAGTCATCTAAAGCGGCTTTTATTGTGTTCTGAGGTGACCCCTCTTCCCCTCAACACTGCTTTGCACTGATGAGTTTAAGTTTTGTGGGGAAATGCTGTTTGTATTATTTTACTGTTTTCTGCCATAAATGAATTACTTCAGCTGTAACCTTTACTCATGTTTACATTTCGTCTCAGGGGTTTGCATTTGCTGTCACTAAATCTATTGGCATTTAACACCGGTGAGAACAGACGCTTTGCGTTTGATAGAACGTAAAATTTTTAAATATTGACGCTCCCTTAATATTTACAACACCTGCTTTGGTTTTCAGAGCAGTGCAGAATGTCTCAGAGCCTCCCTGTATTGTGCTGCACTATTTTCTGAACTGTGACCTGGTTCTTGAAACACATATCAAATTAAAGCGCTCTCTGCACCATGACTTCTTCCTTCTCTTTCAAAGACGTTGAGTTGAATTAACATCAGGATTCTTAGGACGCTTCAGGACAATCCAGAGTTTCCCTCTTGTCATTTTTTACATGTTACTTTCAGCTCATTATCTTGTGTTGAAGCAACTAGTCACAGAGACAGTAGTCAGACTGACTTGCTTTGCTTTAACAGTTCAAAGAGTTTCTTCTTCATTTAACACAAAGTACTTGAATTCATCTAAAATCTATATTGAGTATTATAAAAAGAAACAATTAGAACTTTATTTTAATTGTACTAAAGACACACACTAAGCTTCCACCATATGTTTTCTCAAACTACAAATGATTGATGACATTTTGACTGTAAATGTCATTTTTACAACATATCAAAAAGTCGTACAAACAAAAATGAAGCATTTGATAGTTCAAGGCTCTGTAATGTTTGTACTGACTAAAATGTTAACCTCAGCTACTATAATCCATAAATACGACGCTGTGTAGACAAAAATGTTCCCACTGAAAACCCATTAAAACTGTTACTTTTGACCTCCTGCCATTACAAAATGAAATCATCCATTCTGTGTTACCAGGATTTTATTTTGGGGTCTTGGCATCATTGGCTTGGTTATGATCAAGATGAAGGTTAAAAAAAATAGTATGTGATATGTTTATGGGCCCTTTTTTAAAGCTTGACAGTGCACAAAATAATAATGCACCAGAATCAACATTAAGTGCTCATAACTGACCTATCTCTGTAGGGCTGTATGACCGTAACAATCCAAAATAATTAACTATTCACCACTAATAATATGAAAAATTATTAGTTTTTAAACTCCCTACAAGTCATTATAGGAAAATATTCCATTATATAATACGAACCAGACAACCACAGCACACCATCAGGATCTGACTGAGAACTGCTTTACTAAACACACAAAACAAAACCAAGACTAAACAGGACCAAAACCAGTTCAGCCCACAGCCGAACACAAACCAGAACTCCTGTGTTCTGATCCACAGTGGATTCAGTGTAGCTAACAGCTAACTACAGCTAACTCAGATTCATCAGAGACATGATGTTGTTGATGATGCTGTTGTCGTCGCATCATCAGTCTCCACAGATCTACACATATACAGTCCTGTCACACAGCAAACTGACTGAACACACTGTTCATTTCACTGCTTTTGTTCAAGGGGAGTTTCTTTGGAAACTACTTTCTACTGTCTGTTTTCAACAACCAGCGTTACTGATGTGACTGACAGGTGAACTGTTTACAGCATGAAGCAAACAAACACACTGCATTAAAAACACAACAAGCACACAACAACATTAGCAGGAGTCAACAACAGTGGAGCTGTTGTCAGGAAATATGACCACACTGTGAACTGCCATCATTACTGTAAATACTGAACCTCTCTGAATGTACTTCACCACTCATGGAAGATGGTATGCTGTTAACCACCAATCAGAAAACAGCACATTTATTCAGAGAACATTTTCACTAAGTGATGGTACAACATTTCACTCTATTATTTTTCAGTGTTCAACTTTGTTCACTTTTATTTAACTAAATTAAATTTTAATTACATTAAATATAAAGACCCTGCAATACTACTCAGTCTGAAAATGAAAACTTGCATTAAATAATAAATACTTTCCACATTACTTTATCATTGTCACAGTTAATTTATTCATCTTTTTCCTCTTCAACTGAAAAGTATTAAAAACTATTTACTTTCCATGTATTTTAACCAGGATCGGTAAAAAGATGCTACCAGGATTGTCCTGACTCCTCCTCACTGTAAACCTGCTAACTACCAGCTAACTAAGTCAAACTAAGTTCACTGAGCTCACTTACCTGACAGTTATAAAGACTCACACACATGTTGACTCTGTTTGTCCTAAAATTCTACATTCAGCTCCACAAACAGCTGCACAGTCCAGTTCACTGAAAACACGCTAGCTAACAGGATGCTAACCTAGCTAACGGAGCTAACGCTTATCTCCGGCCGTTAGCTCGCTAGCTCGTCATAAAGCCTCCTGAATGAGTCCAGTTTGTCACAGTCAAACTTTACTGAGCCTTCCTGGATTAAAACACCATCTTCCTCACCTCCGTCTCCTTCGGTTCTCCTCCAACAAGCGGCTCCATGTTCTCGTCCTCCTTCTTTTCCTCCCGCCGTCTCTCCGTCGAAGCTTCTAGAAGCCGTTAGCTGCGCTCAGTGCGCCTGCGCACACAGGCCGCTTCTCCACAGTGTTTCCACATTGAACAAAAGTCGCTCAGTTTTTCATTTCAAGTCTGGATTTGTCCACAGTTTGGAGAATGAAGTTGGCTGAATCTGCTGTGAGCAGCTCCTTGTTGCTCTGAACTAAGAAAACTGGACATGGTGATGATTCTCAGGCAGGTCCTGCAGTCACAAGGAGCCTCTTTTCTCTCTAACTGGCTTCATGGACGTTTATCGGTGACCTCCATCAGAGATGATGACATTCACAGGAAGTGTGGTTTCATGTCTGAATTTAGATCTTTTAGTCAGATAGAAAACTCCATGTTCGCTATTAAGGACGTCGCCATCACATTGAGGGTTTATTGGATGCTGATGAGCGTCGTATTGGTGATGACTGAGTTGAGCTAAAGTTTAGTCTCTAACCAGCTTTTTTCACTTGTTTATGTCAGCTGCAGCCAGAAGAAACCTGCTAAAATATAAATATCCACTATGAGTCAAGTTCACCACTCTGTCGTGTTTTTATATTTAATTTTCAATTATTTTCTTGAGAAGAAGGAAAAAAAAGACCAAGTTACATGGTCACAGAGGCTTCAAGCTGCATTGGGTTCATTAACAGTGAATTTAGGTTTATTAAAGTTCGCCTGCAGCATGATTTAAAACACCTGACCTTATCTGACCTGACCAGAATAAATCCAGTGATGTGCTGAAAGAATAAATAGCAGAACTGGTGCATTTAATCTGCCAACCTGAGCTGTAAATGCAGCTTAGAATGGATTCATTCGGTCAAAAAATCCAAATCTATTCAATTTGCTTTCAGAAATGACAAAAGCAGACAAACGCCTAAAGAAAAAAAAAACCCACTGGCACCATTGATATTTTAAATAATCCATCTTTCATGAGAATAAAAACACCAAGAAGCAGCAGATCTACAGCAAATCATCAAAGTTTATTTTCCTGCACATTTAAAAAGCAAATAAAAGTAGAAGCCTGTATGTATCCCGACCAGAGCCCCAAAGAAAAAGGAACAAACTCAACATCAGCTCAGTTCTCTGTGGATGCTGAATCGACTTTGTGGTCCACTTTACTGGACGCTCGAGTCCCCCCTAGTGGTAAAAGAAAAGTAGTACAGTATACAAACCCCCCCAATTCAAGCCCAATGTGTCCCCTGAATAAATTAGCTCGGTAGTTTTGCTCTCAGCCATTATTTACACCAGTGCTTCAGCCAGTTCAACAAAAAAACAAACAGACTCTGTAAATTACTTCTTCTTGATTCTGAACGAGCTGAGAGAAGCCAAACAAATTTACAAAGATAGAAAACAGGCACGTGTCGAGGCTTTAGACGTCTGCCGACCCACCCGCTTTCACATCCGCACATCTGGAGGTTAAAGCACGTTGTGACGCAGTTATGGACGAGTCCAGTCAGCACCACGCCTGTGATTACGCCGCTTTATATACGTTTGAACACATTTAAATCAAACGAGAAATCACAGACTTTTTCATCATGATGCCGTCGAAGCTGCTCTTCCAGACTTTACAGCATAATCTGTTGTCTTTGATGCTTTATTTCCAAAAAAACCTCCCCAAATCTAACATCAACACTCTGACATGTGGGCTCAAAAAGTCTTTACAACATCTTCACACTGCGACAGTCTAACAGAAGGACGGCACTGAGCTCTTGAGGTTTTTGTTTTTTCTTGCCAATCTGTTATAACTGATCAGACCAGACTAAAACAAAAAATTCCCTCAAGATCTGCGGAGGGAAACGAGTGAAGGTCAGGGCAGCAGGAAGGGAGCGGACATGATCTACAAAATCTCAACATAATCCCAAAATGTGCAGGCAGAATCTACAAATGCAAAACTACACCAAAAAAAAAAAAAAACATCCAAAAACTCAAATCAAAAACTGCATTTGTTACCGTAATCGTAGCTCCGTTACACACCAGAGCAAGGCTGCAACTGAGCAGTGTTATTCAGCAAAAAACTGCCAAAACTCATTAGAATATAAATTCAAAAGGCCCAAGATGAGTGGAAAATTTGGAGTTGTAAAAATGACAATTAATCAATGATAAAAATGTTCCGTAGGTTGATCACTGTTTCAGCCCTGCACCAGAGTGGGGAAGTAAGAAACACAAAGACAATCAATACTGTCTCACAATGATAATGTCAGCAGTTATCTTACCGAGGCTTTGAAAAACAAAGAAATCTTTAAGGAAACCCAACAACCTTTAGAGGAAAAATGTCCTTACACGCCTTCTAAACCCAACACGCCTGTTAAAGGACGATCCTTTCCACTTCTCTCTCTCGTGACAGTAAATCGATAAACAAAAAGGGGCTGTGGATTGTGAGTGTGGTCAACAGTTTTGAAAGTAGAGAGCCGGCCGTCGCTGCGCTTGGCACTGGTTACAGTTTCTCAGCAGAGGGGGCCTCGGGATGGAGCTGGCCGCCCGAATCCTCCTCCTCTGGCGCCGACGGATGGGTGAAGTCTTGTCGCCGCGGTGCCGGGCGGCCGTCACTCGTCTGAGCCGGCCGAGCGTTTCTGGCTCCTTTTGCGGGGAGATCTTCTGGGAGATGCTTTGTCTGCAGAAGAAGCAGAGAAACAGCAAAGAGGTGAGGGCTGGGTTTTTACTGACCTCCCCAAAAAACCTATTAATACACAGCTTTAAACAGGATTATTGTTCTTGTTAGGGATATGGGTTTTTCAGGGCCAAGTCAGATACCGATTATTGTTAATCAAGAACAACCGATATTTGGAACCAACACAGCCCCGTCAGTAAAGTAACTTGAACATTTGTTAACGCCTTCGAGTGAATTATTGGGTCTTTCCCTGTAACACTATGGATGCCTGTGAAAGACTGCAGGGTTTATTAAACCGTCAGCAACATCTGCTGCCTCGCCTCCCATACAGCTCAGTTCTGTAAATGTGCTCATCTGTCTCTCTGTGTAAACAACAGCTTTACGTGATTGGCTGTTACTCGTGACGCGTAACGGCCAATCAGATAGAGCTGTGGGCGGGACATACTGACTGCACAGAGAGAGAGCTGCCATTTATTTCATTTTATTCGTGGCAATAAAATCAATGACACTAATAATGTATCGCCCCTAATAATCACCTGGGCCGATAATCAGTCGACCACGAGTTTCATTGTTTTAGAGTTACCTCTCTCCTTCAACCCCTCAACATAAACACAGATTCAACACTTTACATTAACATACAGCTTCAAATAGGATTATTATTATTACCGATGTGGGTTTGCCCGGTGCCGACATCGATATTTATATTTGGAGCCGATATGCATCACATGTTCGTTATTACCAGCATGTGATAGCAGGGAACCCGTCATCATAATTAGGCTTCTTCATTGACTTGAGAATACGTACAATCGAAATAGAAGCAATGATTTTAGCGTGTCACGTGACATTAGGGTGCTCTCGTATGAGCAATCCAAACACCCGAGTGTGTTTGGCAAGAGCAGTGACGCAACGAAAAGGGGCTAAACTGAGTGTAAAGCATCAAGTCAGCATTCAGAAGTTTTCCGGTGAGCCAGCAGGCCCGCCATCACGAGTCTCCAGCTGGTAAATCCAGATGATATGCAGGAATTTTTAATGTTCTCAAATACACCTGAGCTGGGTTTTTTTGGTGGCGACATGTCAAAACAGTCTTCAGAAGAAATTCAAGTCAGGCTTTATTTGTAATTGATTACTTGTCAAACTGAAGCTGAGAAACTAATTTCAAAATCAGGAAAAACCTAATTTGACCCAAAATAGATACACATGCGGATATGTGTTTGGTTTTAATTCAATACACACTAATCAGATCAGAACACACCATCAAGACGTGGCAGCAAATTTGTAGGAATAACTAATTAAATACTGAATTCACCTTTAATGTGAGAACAAAGGTGGGGGCTGCAGTCTGCAGGTCACTGGTTGGTCGATACGCCTTCAGACCAAACTACTCTCAAAAGGAGAAAAGCTCCACATCCACGGCCTTCCAGGATTATTCCATTACTCCTGGCAGCAGAAGGAACGCCGCCACACTTTGACAACTCTGAACTGATCCAGCCTAATGGAGACTGCTGGGTCTAATTTATTTAATGTTTCTACAAATCCGCTCCAGATTAACTGGCAGCAACAGTTTTTGTGAGATCAACAGTTTATATATTTTCAGAAATCATAAATATGTTCTGCTCCGAGTCTGTTCATGTCGTTTCAGTATAAAATAACCTTGTTTGCTAATACGAGCTACGGCTGCAGGCAGCGTGAACTCTGCTCAGTGGAACTTTCTCCAGATAACCTGCAGATCTTTATTTCAATTAGTACGAGTACAACATCAAGGTTTCTGCGGCTGAATGCAGCTCCAGCAAACACTCCAACATCAGCACATTTAGTAAGAAGAGTCGAGGAAGCCCAGTTTCAGACACACACACACATCCACACGACACGAAGCAGACCTCACCTCTGCGACTCTGCACTGAAGACGCAGGAAAGCATGACAGCGAGGAAGGCAAAGAGAGAGAAAAAGAAAGAAGAGGGTGAGTGATCCTCATGCACAGTGAAGGTTAAAGGTCATTCTGAAACAGGTGAGGCGGGAAGAGACCAGAGACACCTGCACGTACACGTCGACGGAGAAAGCTTCAGCGTTTGGACTGAGCCTGGCGTCCAGGTTTGATTCTTCGCGACAGTAATTTTGTGGTTTTGTCCTCAGTCTAAATCTAAAAGCTCTCGTAACATGCAAACCGACAGCCGGGGAAAAGGTTAGAGCAGGAACCGGTATCGTTAAGAAACTTTAACTCTGATTCTGCTTATCGATTCCTAACCAAACATAACGTGAGTTGAATCGTCTCCTGAGCTACACACTGGTGCTCTGAACGTCTGCACTACGCCACAAGGTTTGATTTGTTTAACGAGAGCATCAGTCGCCAGCACACGAGTCTACATAGAGCTGTCGTGCGTCGCAATAAGAGCTCAAAAACGTGGCTTCATTTTATTCGAAAAAAAATGAGCAAGTGTTCTGCGTTTGACAAAAAGTTCAGGAGCGCCACCGAACAACTCGTGTGTTTAAAAGGCTTCAGGTGAACACAGATAATAGAGCCAAAAAATCCAAGCAAACAGTAACTTTTTTTTCAAGTGAGAGCGTTTTTACATCTGATCATTTGAGTTTTGCATATTTATTGATTGGTTCGGTCGGCAGCTGCCTGAACTGAAAGCTAAGAGACCGTTGCCATGGTGCCATTTCAGCAGATTTCTGTGTTACAGTCCAGTGAACAGAAAAAGAATTACCAGATTATTATTGAATCGCACCATTCATCAGCAGCAACCAAATCAAAACAGCAAAATGTTCATTTACAGGTTCCATGAACTGTAAACGTCTCTGGAATTTGCTTCTACAATCGCTAAGACCCAGAATCGATAAGCAGAACCGGAAAAATCTAAATGCTAGCCAACCCCAGGGGGCAACTTTTCAGACAGAGACATGCGAACAAAACAGATGTGTGAGGCTTTAACAGGCCCTGGACTGGAGCGTCTAGTCTGGCCTCGGCTTGTTGAGAGCAGAAGCTGGCGTGCAAGACGAAGAACTCATAAGCTGTGTGAAGATGACGTACTGATCTGGTTGAGCGTTTCCTGAGGGATCCAGCTCAGGTCCACGTCGTTGTGGCTCGAGGTTCCCATTTCCACCTTCGGAGCTGGACGCCTCCTCTGCAAACACAACAAGAGTGAGAGGTCTGTCATGCTGTTTGCTGTAGACGCAAACGCAGCGTCGGTGACGGGCTGCCATTTTGGTGCAGCTGGAACATCAAGACGTAGAGAAACACGACAGAAATTCCTCCTCAAAGACGACTCGTAACTCAACAGCAGGGTTTTTCCTGCATAGAAGATTATTTGTAAGTTTGATCCAGCAGGAAACAACAGAAACTCAATACTTTCAAACCAACTCTGTTAATTTTGGCTTCATTTACTCAAGATAATACAAGTTTTTGTTCACTAAATGCTCACTGTCTTCACTGTACGTGGATTAGTCAGGCTTAACAGAAAGCCCTGGACAGTCATCTATGATCAACACCCGACTGCAGCTGCGGGTATTCAGTTTGACAACCTGCAGATTTTGAGCCACTGAATGTTCTGCATTTATTCTTGACAAATTAACCAACGTCAACAGACCACTGGATTCAAATCTCTGTACATTTCTACCCGCGTCTTTACCTTTCTGGACTCCAGCAGCTGGTGAAGACCTACGACGACGAGCAGCCCGAGGCCGGACAGGAAGACGTACATGAAGATCCTGGAAGACAGGGAGGAGGCCGGAATAAGATGGAAGGACGTGAACATGAGCAGCGACTAACAGGGGGAAGGAAGCTGAAGGTCCCATATTGTGCCCTTTTCAGCAGCTTCTGGTTTTACTCGTGCTAAATGGATTGTTTCGCTCTGAAAACCCAGTAAGCTGTTGTTGCTATTATTACTACTTAAGCTACTACTAAAATTACTATTACCACTACTACTACTGTAACTATTACTACTACTACTGTTACCATCAACGCTAATGTTAGCGACACTACTGCTGCTGCTACTACCACTTCAACTACTACTATCAAAGCTAAAGTTAGCCACATTAGCACTGAGGATTTTCCTATTGTTGTCAGGACATTTCCATCAATAATGAACACAATCCGCTGGGTGTTTGGTTCCTCAGATGCTGGCAGTGCATGAAGACTTTTGTGTTCAGTCTTGCAGGAGCAGCTCCAGAGAGTAAATAAACCTGGAGGACAGTTTTTGATTTACACCTTCACATGTGGATTTTCACCACATGGGACCTTCAAAAGCTGAAAATTAACTCGGCGCTTACGTCTCTCCGTCAAGTCCGTCTTCTTTCTCAGTGATGGTGACGGTCTGGTTGAACACGGCATCCTGGAAGACGTTTCCCTGCAGGTGGAGAGTGGGGAAAAGGAACCAAAGGATGAAATTAAAGAACATGGAAGAGGAGAAGGCAACACCAGAGAGGAAGTGAAAGAAAAGCAGAGGTCCAAGTTACTGTCCAGACTTATTGTTCTAGTCATAACCGACCCTGCTCGTCTTTATCTACATCAGATAAAGTGTTCACTAATCTGGTTCTCCTTACGCTGCCGTCTTTGTAGTTGAGGTTGATGACGAGTCCGAACGGCCGCCCTCCCATGGGCTCGGCGGGGATGAAGGAATATTCAAAGGTGGCCTGTCGGCTGGGAGGAACCACGGTGCCGAGCTGCAGAGCCGTGAAGTTCTGGATGTAGAACTGGTAATCCTGACAGACAGGAAGAGGAGCAAGTCAGGAGAACGCTCAGCAGAAAACACCTTGCGAGCCAGAGCCATAAACATCCCAACTGCTTTTTTTTTTTAACCTGTGGGTAACGGAAAGAAGCATCCAGAGACTCCACGATGAAGTTCTCAGATCCCTTGTTGGTGAAGCCGAGCAGGAACTTGACGATGTTGTTGGCCGGGAAGTCTGAAGAGAAACAACACAATGGATCAGACGGGGAGTTACAGCACTGCATCAGAGAAGAGGGCAAAAAAAAAAACGACTCTCACCTTCTCCTTTGACAAACAGGATGGTGGTGTCAGCGTTGGGGGAAGCCTTCACCTCTCCGACCAACGCTTCCTCCTCTTCATCTTCTTTTTCTTCCGTCTACACACACACACAAACACAAACGATCTCTTTAGGTATATTTTTGTTATCCTGCTGAAACTAACTCCAGCTGACAAACACAGACTCTGACACATGAAGATACGTTTCTGAGCGCTTACAAAAAGGAACTGGAATTCTCTTTTAGGTTCTTGAAGACGTTTCCCTTCTCATCTAAGAAGTCTCTTCAGTTCTGCTTCAGGAACACCTGACACCTCAGGACGACTGCGACCTTGATGACTGAGAATCTACACAGATTTGTGAAATGCCTTTCGACACGACTCAGAATTTCTAAATGGCGCCCGGCAGCGTGAAGTTGAGAAACTCTGAACTTCAACTTCCAAATCTTCTGATGTGCAGCAATGACTTCCTGTGACCTAAATTTCCCATAAAAACGCGACCAGAAGCAGCCGTTTGATGCTCAACTGAATAACGGAAGTAAGATTACAGAAATACTAATAAAATGGAGACGAAAAATCAAGAAAAGAAAAATAAACTAGAGACTGATAGTCAGACGGTAATCACAAATAGTTAAATTAATAAAGTACATGCTGATAAACCTGTTTTTAAACCACTGTCACTTAACGTTGAACACTAAATCTGTTACATTAGGAGTTAGAAATTATGCAGCAAAATCAATTCAACTCAGTTTAAAACTGCTTTTTAGTGATTTACCCGACAAAATCCAAACACAGCAGACGAGCTGCAGTCTAATCAACATGGTTGAGCTACACGATGGAGCGGCTTTTTCACCGTAATCCAGCTGCTGGAACGTTTTATATACGTAGAATTGTACCAGTCAGCTTTTTAAAGTCCTAGCTTAGCGTTAGCATGAGCCTCAGGTAGCTAGCTAAACAGGACAGACAACTTTCTACAACCCGACGCACCTTCGTTTAACAGCAAGAGGCGCCACCTGGTGGGACAACCAGGCACTGCAGCTAACCTACAACATTACAATACACTTTCCGACATATTTGTAATCGATTATTAATCAATCTTTAGCATCTCCAGCTGCAACGACAGATGATTAGTGAACCAGCAGGAAATTAATCTGCATCTTTTTAGCATAAAGAATGTGTGAGATCAAGCTGCCATGTGTGATTCGTTCATGTTGTTTATTGTTCATGGTAACAAACTGAACATTTGGTTGGACAGCGGAAATTTTCACTGCAGGTTCAGGAAATGTTTTTTGTTTTCTAACACTTTAAAAACCAAAACAGTCAATTCATGGAAAAAATGATCCGCAGTTAAAATAATTGTTAGTCGCAGCTCAACCACAGAGGAAACAAGTCAGATTTAAAGAAGCAGCTCGTGTGTGTGAACGCTGGATTTGAAACAGCAAAACGAAGACCGTCACATGAGACGAGCTGGAATGAGATGTTTACGGACGTTTTAACCCGAAGAGAGAAGAAGCAGTGTCTGATAACAAACACGTCACAGCAACGATCCTCGGGTTCCTCAGTGGAATAAAGTACAGGACTATTCGATCATTTAGTGTTTTCAGTGCTGCTGTCGACACTCGGCCACTCACCAGTTCTGCATTGTCATCGTCCTCCACTTCAGCCTCGTCGTCTTCGTCCTCAGCCGTCACGTCGTCCACGACATCTTCGTCCACAGCCTCGGCCTCCTCATCCTCAGTCAGATCCTGGGCACTCGCCACCGGCCCTGATGGAACGAGTAAAAATGCGTTTTTATTTCAATCATTGGACGGCAAGACAGATTTTTCAGTCAGAAGCCACGTCAAAAGCATGATGCAGCTACAAGAGCAATAATAATAATAATAATAATAATAATAATAATAATAATAATAATAATAATAATACATTTATTTAAACAGCACCTTTTAAAATCAGAGTTTACAAAGTGCTTTACAGAGAGGGCAAAGACGAAAAGAAGGATAATCAGGCAGACCGTTGGGTAAAAATAAAGTTAATAAATAAATAAATAATAATCCAAACCTATCAATACAACACCAGCAGATAAAATAAAAGAAGCAAAGACGTCACATCCAAGGAAGGGAAAAGAATAAGTGGAGTAAATTAAAATAACAACAACGGTAGCAATAAAAAATAAACACTAAGTAAATAAATTCAGGATAAAAGAGAATAAAATGAACCACGAAAAAAATCTAATTTAAAAATTAAATGATAGAATAAATATTGACTGATTTTGGCTATTTTCTGTTTTCTGCGCTGACTTCGGTGCTAAAAGGGAAATAAAAACTTTATGGCATTTCTAAAACCACCCTCACTTTACTTGCAGTGTTTAAACCTTTTCACTGCAGATCACAGAACTTTAGAGACGTTCTGGTGCTCAGTGAGGAGAACTTATTCACAGCAACACCTCAGAAACACACCCGTCCAGTTTGTCTCCGTCTGCAGATGCTCAGTACTGATCCGAGACCCGTTCTCGCCGAGATCACTTTTATATAAAAGGTACCATAAGACCAGAGATGAACAAGTGGAACCAGTAGAAAGAAAAATGAAAACGCTGAATCAGATTAAAGCGACTCATGTATCTCTGCATCATGCTTCTCTCTGATGACTACATGTGATGTGTGTTAGTCACGATTCTACCCCACAACAGACGATGTGTATTCAATGCAATGACCGTTTTTTGTACGTCTTTATGGTTTTTCATATCCAGAATTCAGTATAAAAGCACATCCACTATGACGACAGCTCCTCCTCCAGGCTGCTGGAACAAATCAAACACTTAGAACTGGGCTTAAACGGTATTTAGCTTCAGCATCGACATCACAGCGTGAAGCACGACCTGAAAGTCTGACATTTAATATGATCTTAAACTTCATTTAAACAGACTTGGTCGACATGCAGGCTCCACATGTTGGCGGCAACATCAGCGAGGAACAGAAGAGAAACACTGAAAAAGAAAGATTTGGTTCCAACAAGAGGAATCGGTTGTATTTCAGCTACAGAAAAGACGATGTGGAACAAAACAGGTTCTCTGTCAGCGGTGTTTTGCAGGAAACATGACTCATTTAAATCAGCACCACACAGCTCTGTAGGATGTGAGCGAAGCCGGATCCAAATCAAAACCTATTTGGGATGTCTGTGTCGGTGCTGCACCACCTGAGAAACACTGAAACATTAGGACAGCTTCCAAAGAGGGTTTTAAAAACACGACCTGGTCGTTTTACATGCAGTACGTAATACTTTTCTGAGTACCACCTCAGAGCTGAATGAAAAATGCAAGACGGAGCTGTGAAATCTGTCACAGACTTCCAGCCAGACACTGGAGCTCCACCAAAGTGTGACTGTCCACTTTATTAACGAGGGCAAACGACTGAAACGTCGCCACTAGTTGATCATTTAAGTGAGACCACGGTAGAGGAGACGTAAAGCTTCGATTTGACACAACAAGTCTGTACGATACAAACAACAACAACAACAAGCAGACGAGGCTGCAGCGCCACAGAACCTGTCTCAGAAGAAAAGGACCATTTTCTTAAGTGTAATCACGTCAATAAATGTGAGTTTTATAAGCTAATAATAAGTTGAAGGCATGCTCACTCAAACTGCATATCAAAGAACCGTCACGCTTCTCTTTTGATGCGATATCAACACATTCATAGCTGTGATTTATGGATATTTTAGAAGTTTCAACCATGAGCAATATCTATTTTTCTACAGATACAGAAACCCGTACTATATCGTGTCTACTTACAGACAAATCTGAACACAATACATTATAATCTAAGCAATACTAATACTTCTGGGTATTTCTATTCATGAATCTGTGCAATGCTGTCATTGCTTGAAGTAGTACTTATGTGTATATTTTGGTTCACTTTTGTACTGATATTCTTAAATGTCTGCACGATGCACTCTGCTGCTGTGACCCTGCAGACTTCCCCGCTGTGAGACCAATGAAGGCTTATCGTATCTTATCTCAGGACCACGCTGCTGATGTGATTGATGACTGAAGAATCTTACAGCATGAATGTGAATTTTTAACCCCTCTAGAAGCTCATATCTGTTCAGAATCACCCCAATCAATCTCGACTGATTTATTCTTTCAAATTGGAGCAGTTTGAATCATCTGGTGATTTCACATGACATATTGCACAACAACTAAATAGCACAACATCCTTTTTTTGTTTTTGCCCCCAATACCGTGCACCACTAACCACTGGATTTACAATCATAATAAGTTGGAGGCTTTTTAATGTAAAAGCCCAAAAGGAGCAACAAGCAGGACACAATCAGTGAACAAAATCAACTTTCTTTCACCAGCACAAAGTGCAGACTCAATAAATATCAGTTATCACAACGATCCATGCTGCTTCACTGTGAATTATAATAAAATCTGACTGCTGATAGAAGGATTTAGCGGTACGTTTAACATGGCACAGTGGCTAGTGATGCTTCTGAGCCGTGGATGGTAAAGCTACGTGTGCGAACCGAACAAAACCCAGATTAATGTAGCTGCAATAACGTTTCAATGCTTACTGGTGATGTTGTGTGTCGCTGCGAAGCAGTTTGGGCTTAATTAATAAGAGCTGAACTAGTTGGGTGTCCAGGAAGGCTACTTAGCTTCAGAGCTAACAGCTAACAGTAAGGACACGTCAGTGTAAGCAGGCGGATAACCTGCTTTGATTTAAGCTAGCTAACACTGGATGCTAACATAAACTGAGACATTCACGAATAGGAAAAGCTCCAAGGAGACAGTTCCAATTTGCTCTGCTTTTACAATCTTGTTTTTTGTTTAGACGGTTACTTTGAGCTAGCACATGTCGAAAGGAGAACGGCCTCCCTCCCTTCTCCACAGCAGCTAGTTAGCTCCGCTGCTAACGCTAGCACGCCGTAGCTGCTAAGACACCGGCCCCTCGTCTCCGTCGCCAGGAGCGGCCGAGTCGGAAACTCACCTTTGACGAGCAGAGTGGCCGGGAAGGCCAGCAGCAGCAGCAGCAGCAGTTTGGGCAGAAACTTCAACATTTTGGGGTCGAAATCAGTGCGTTCTCATTCAGTGCGGGTCAGACGGCCAGGCTGCGCCGCTTCCGTTACGATTACTGCCGCGCATGCGTAACAGATACCGAGCAATAGGTGCTGCGGCGAAGTCGGTCCCCCTGAAACAAAGACCTGCTCACATATTTACATCGTTTTGTTTTGTTTTTGTTGTTGTATTTTAATCAGTAATACATTTCTAATAAACAATGTATATTAGGGGTTGGAAAATAGTGAATAATGTTATTTCCTATATTGTTTTAACAACTAAGACAATATTATATTAATTTACATACAAACTACAGAACAGGACAAAATTATAAATAATATCCACATCAACATCTACATTTTTATAAAATAAAAATAGGTCAAATTTAAATTTTAAGGTCAAATATAATAAAAGAATAGCATTTGATCCTAAAATTACTTTTTTCTTTTTCTTTGCACTGCATTAAAAACAGCAATAAATCTCATTATTTTACAGATATTTGTTATTATTTGAAAGTAAAAATATTTATTTTCACGGTTTAGATTTTAGACAACGTCTCGTAAAATCACTGGAAAAGTAATAATTTACATGAAACAAGGCAAAACTGTAAATAACATCCATTCATTTTTAAAAATTTTATTTTATTCATTATTTATTTATTTATTTATTTACAGTAAACCATTAACCTGGTTCTATTATTGAGCATTTAATTGTAAAGTTATTTAGCATCAAATAGAGAAATGTACAATTTCTGTAAAAAAGGCCGAGTTAGTCTGATATTGTGGTTGAGTCGCTTTTATTTCTAAACTCCTTTAAAACAGCAGACGATGAGTCGAAGTGATTTCAATTAACAAAAAAAACTAACAAACTACCTGACTAATAAAAATAATGAAACCACATCTTCAATCCAAATGGGATTTTGAATAATAAAGAACCAGAAACAGCGAACTGACAGATCTTTGAATCCTATTTAGACTAAGAAATTTAGTTTTGATGCATTTAAACGAATGTCATTGACATTTATACATATTTGAGAACACAACAAAACAAAGCACGCATATTTAGACTAAATTTATTTAAAATGCAAAAGTAAGGGCAGATAAAGTGCTTCTACTGATTATTAGTTAGTGTATTTTTTCTCTCTGTTTGGTCCTTTATTTAATCTAATAGGGGATTTTTAAAATAACCCTTTATGCCGGTTTACAGACTGAAATGTGTGTTTTTAAACAGCTTTAACTCTAAATAAAAGATTCAGAGGGAAAAAATCACTGCTGATAACAACTACACAATGACTTTGTATATAAACGATTATTATTTATGTGAATCCTCACTTGCAGAAAATGAAGTATTAATGAGAGTATTAATGCATGTTTTGTGTAATTAAAATGAGAAAACTTTCTGCTGACAGTTGATTTGTTTTTATTTCTCTCACATGTAGCACACTGTGATTATCATATGGCAAAATAACATAACTGATTGAGTGATATATAATTTCAAATAATATGTAAATAAATTTAGTATAATCTGTGAAAACATTCAGACTAAATATGAAGAAAAACAAACTTTACAGTGGTGACATTAGAAGCAAAAAAAAAGTTTTTAAAAAATCCTCATTGCATGAACAAAAAAAGGATTTATAAAATGACACCGAGTGCCTTTTCCAAAACCAACACGTGAATATTCAGTAAATTAAGTTCTATTGCATCTATTTATGAAACCAAACATACAAAATACAAAATGCTCTCCAGCTAGAATGACAAATCATGGCTGAGTGAAGGTTTGATTCAGTACATGACCAGGATGCAATCCACACAGCAAGACAACGAACCCTAAAAACACAACTTACTGGATACAGACGAGTAAAAGAGTAAAATATATCTTCCCAAAACACAGACGGGAGCCCGAGTATCAAAATAGTCTGCGACGTACAGAAATCTCACGTACTCACACAGTCTGTTCAGGTTTCAGTCCACGTTCACTGTTAACTGTGGAGATGATGGTTAAGTTTTCTGGACGGCACGCAACTCTTTTTATTCATAGCTAAAAATAAAAAATAAAGGAAACATTTGATACGAAAACAGAAAGACACAGTGTGTTAGTTAAAGTCCTTTACAAACACGGAGGTTAGTGCTGCTGTTTAAAAGTGAAGCTGTGATCTTTCTGTCACAAACTAAACTACACTCACCTGAACATGAATTAAAACTCAGGATGAATAAAAGGTTAAACTCAAGAGATCTGTTAGCTTCTTATCGTCTTTACTTCCTCCACTCATCCTTCTGTCCTTTGTCCTTCCTTTGGTTGCATCAGTTCCAGGACAAAAACGGAATTTTCCTGCTTCAATTTTTTCCCTCGTTCCTCAACTCATTGTGCGACTCGTCTCATCACGACAGAACGCAGGTCGAGATGTTTCTCCTTCCTGATGTTCTGTAGGTTTCTTATTGTCAACAAATCCCATGAAAAATACCAAAATCAGATCATTTGAAATTGCATCACCGCTTAAGTAATTGTATTATTTCTAAATGAACGATCAAAAACAAAACTTTACAAAGACTATATTCAATATTCAGGCCCCAGAGTAGAAACTCGATGCAACAAAAGGGAATCCACTGAAACGAAACTGAGTAACTGCATGAGAACGGTTCTAACTTGAGCTGTGAACAGCAGAACTTTCTCACTTTTGGACCTATAGGTTGTGTCTATCTTCATATCTGCATCGTGGCTCCACGTGGAAAAGAGTTGGAACCGTGAGATTGAATTGTGAAAGGCTTCACAAAGATGGAAAAGGAATCAGGAAGGTCGACTAAAAACCAGTGAAGCCCAGAGTGAGCAGTAACCAGGAGGTCTAGAGGAGACGAAGTGGCACTGATCAGGGCTGCAGTGGTCGTCCTCCTGGAATGACTCCGCGGACAGTCAACTACTTTCACAATCTAGCAGACGGCAGTCGCTTCAGACTCAGTACAGATGTTATCAATGGAAACCAGAGTTAGTGTGAAGCTCAGACAGTGTGAAGGCCATCGACCTCTATGGATGGAGGACATGAACCACAGCCTTGTTAGCTGTCTGGTACAAAACTTTGCTAAAAAAAAAAAAAAAAACACGAAAGGAAGCCAGATGAATGCTGGAGAACATTCTCTGGTCAGATGAAGATAAATGTGTTGGGCTCAGATGGAGTCCAGATGTTTGGTGTGAACCTGAACCAGAGGGCTGAACTACGAAGAGAGATGAGATGGTCGGCAGGAGGGTTGAGCCTCAAGTCAGAGTTTTCAGTGTCACGAAGGTGGCTCTCTTTTTACCTGCTAGATCTCCATGGTAACGGATGCTGTGGAGCTAGGTCTCCATGGTAACTGATGCTGTGGAGCTCACCTGGTCCAGAGCTGTTCAAAGTTTCAGATTGAAATCGGCTGTAAGAAGCGTCTCCCTTTAACCAGATCGTTTCCAGACGATTCTGTGTGAGCGATACAGATTCTCAGCTGAGAGAATAAGTTTTATCTGCAAACATGTCGCTCTGTACGTTACTACAACCACCGAATGAAGCCGTGTAGTTACAGTACATGCGCTGGATGCATCGCGTTGCCATGGAAACCTGCATGTATTCAGCTGGTGATGCAGAAATCACATAAATATGATTTAACGTTTGGCTCTGATTTGCTGTCCTATTCTATCGGTATGTATTACAGAGAATATTCAATCAATAACAATATATATATATTTTTTGGATTTGGCCAAAAACTAAAGTGATTTCCTACATTGTGGGACAGTATCAGACTTAAATGCACTTCAACACAAGATCAGGTTTAAATATATGAAGGTTAAAGGTTAACTTTAACGTGCAGCTGTCAGTAAAATGTTATATATGAACACGTTTGACAGTTGTCTACCAGCATTCCTGTCTTCACCATTTTTTAAACCGTCATAATGTTTATATTCCTCATTGTTCTCCATTAAAACGTGTCGACTGAAGCGGCTGCACACAATGATTTACTTTAGTGAAGAAGAGTCACGTCAAACGCCTCCTTTTATGTGAACTAACACAGAGTCTGAAGCAGAAAGTTTTTAACCACCTCGGTGATACCTGTGATCTCTGGCTGGGGCTTTGGTTTATGTCGAGCCGGCTCACACAAACAAAGCCTGGATGTGTCAAACTGGCTTCGTCGCTCAGCCCTCAGGATTTCTTGCATCGTCCTGACAGTGAATCAGGAGGCAGGAGGGTGACGGTGGGGATCTGCATGAGTGCAAAAGGTGTTGGAGAGATGATATTTATAGATGACACAGCGTCTGTGGATGAACCAGAATGCTGTCTGACAGGACGACTCCCAGTCTGCAGGAGAAGCATCCAAACAACAAAGTCCCAGCTGAGCTCCTACTGTGGGCCTGCATGTTGAACACAAGGGCTCTACAGAGGATCTGTGACAGCCAGATGTGATTTAATACTTTTTAGAGCTCTGTGGCTCAGAGGATGAAACCTACAAAGACAAAACACTTGTTGGTGACACTGAATGTTGTTTTTGGTCTTTTCATGGGTGCTGTTGGTATTAAGAAAAGCATCGAACATCATTCTGTTCAAACTGCTCTCACTTTAGCTTTACTCATGTTTTTCATGACTTGCTTCGTTCTTCATGCACCCTTTCCTCCTCGAGCTGTAAATTTTGATGTCAGCGATGCTTGTTTTCTCTCTTTATCCACCTCTCCTCTCCTCCATCTCCTCCTCTCAGTAAGAAAATCTCCCTCAGATCAGTTGTGGCCGACACCACCAGCCTGCCATGTTCAGCGCATTCCAGCTGTTATTTTGTGGTGAAGAATTACACGGTTTCCCAAAATACCTTTCAGTACCACCAGAAGACGAAGCATGGACCTGTTTGTTGGAAGTAAAACGCCTCTAATCAAACCACAGCCTTTCTTGTAGATGCTTGTCTCTGTGCTTTCTGGTGGATTTTCTCATGAGGGATTGTTTCCGTTTGATGTTCAGGGACTGAAACCAAAAATCAACATAAACTGTTAAAGAGTTTGACATCATTTTCTGCCTTTAAAGAGCTCATATTCTGCTTTTCGGGGGTTTTCTCCTGTCCTTCGTCTAGCTGGTTTTTTGTGCATGTAAAAGAGAGCTACTCTCTCCCCACAGAAAACAAACTCCTGAGATGCATGAAACGCTTCGTTTTAAGTCCACGCTCTTCTTCTCTTCCTCATCTACGGCGCAACGTAACATATTTCCTGCTTCATACTTCTCCAGAGCTCCAACTCTTTGCCTAAACTCGTAAAGCTGAGCCAGAATTTTGTGAAAGAACATGAAAAGAAGCCTGACGGATGGAACATTGTGTGGTCAGATGGAGTCCAGCATGTTTGGTGTGGACCTGACGGGAGGAAACACAGTCCTGACAGGGAGACATTTTGCTTCTCTTCGTGCTCATTTTAAGTTTCTTTGTGGTTGTTTTGTGTGTCTCCTAACCAGAAGCACACACGAGAACAGAAATACTAAACATTTAATAATAAGTACCACACTGAATGCATACTCCTGACAATGAAGCATTTTCTGTGACTCTGTGTTCATTTTGTGTCTCCATGGCACTACACAGGGTGTGCACCATTTTGTAGGGCTGTTAGGTTACAACTGTTTCACCCTATATAGTACACTCCAAATATCCCACAATGCACCGTGAACAGTAGTGTACAGCTGACGGCCGCTAACCAGCAATACGGACCATCGTGTGTGAAAGGAAACTAGACCAACGAGAGCGTGGAAACTGGTCATCAAAATGTGAATAACTTCCTGTTCATGTTTGGTTAAATTTGATTTTACCCGTTTCTGAGCTACACAGTAAACTGTCAATTTGATGCACTACGCTGCACAAATCGCGGCGTAATTAGTAGCTCGGGTAGTCTCCAGAACGTTCCTTTGCCGAGGTGCTCCCTACATAGTCCCTACATGGTGGTCCCTGGATGGTGGGCAGGGAGTGAGCGGATGATTCCTGACACAGCCTCTGTGCTCATTTTGCATCTCTTTATGGTTACTTGGTCGAACCAACGTTTTGAACTTCCTCGTGTAGCTGACCAATCCGAGCAGAACGGACTGTCGTGACCTCAAAGAAGAAAGAAGTTAAAACAGAGCGTTTCAGACAGAACGTGTGCTTTAGCTGTGGACAGAAAGAGAACATTAATTATCCCCATAGTACAGTTATAAACCTGTGACTATGCAGAACAGGAGCTCTTTAAAAGTCAGACTAGAACTTCTTGTGCCGCTGAATCGTATCTATTACACATGTGGCCGGGTTTCCAGAGAAGAACCTCAAATACACAAATGAACCCTGAAATGCAAAGACCATCACCAACATCTGCTTCTGTAACACTGAGGGTGGACGTTATCCTGTAGATTTCTTCTTCTCTCTCCCTCTCCGTCCTCGCTGCTTTAGTTGCAAAACTCCACGTAGTTTGCCGGCAGCATCCCCGACTTGCCGGTCCTCTGCACGGTGCCGTACATCCAGCCCTCGTCGATCGGCTGGGCGTTGACGATGACGTCGCCGTCCCTGAACGAGACTTCGTCGTGGTCCTGAGCCGCGTAGTCGTACAGCGCCCGGTAAACCCGCTGCAGAGGACACAGGGGACACGAAGAGACATGAAGAGACCAGAAGAGACCAGAAGAGGTGAGAAGAGACAAAAAGAGACAAAAAGAGACCAGAAGAGACGAGAAGAGACAAGAAAAGACGTAAAAAGACAAAAAGAGACACGTAGAGACACACAGAGACATCGATGATGTTCATTTCGTAGGTTGTGGTCCCATTTAGAGGAAAACTTGGGGGCGGAGCTACCTTGTGACTGACGAGTCGCTAACGTTTCGTAGCGTACTCATACATGTCCAATCGGTTTTCCACAACCAGTGCGGTCTGCTCTTTTTTGAAGCCGGCCTCAAGTGGCCATTTGAGGAACTGCGGTTTTTGACACGTCAGCATTAGCTTCATCTATTAGCCCTGGTTTTAGCGCGGGGTGGTGTTAAGGGTAAAAAAAGCTCTAAAAGGAAGCTTAAATCATAGCATAGGATCGCCTCAGTGTCACGGATAATGGGATTGAAATTCAAGTCTGCACGAGAATCAGCGTGGGGCCGAGCGTACCATGGTGGCTGAGTGTGGCGGTGAGGTGACCGATCTGACGGACGACATGCTGGTCTGGTGCATGTAGCCGTGGTACTGCTGCTGCTGCTGCATCTGGACGCCCTGGTGATAAGCTCCAGGGAGGACAGGAGCTGCACAGCAAGAGAAAGACAGCATCAGTCAGCCTGCGAAGCCTTTCCTCATTGGGCCTGATGCAACGGTTTGACTCTCCTTTGCTGTGAATTTCAGGGAAAACAGACGTGAGCGGTAAAAACAAGGAAACACAGTGAGCTTCGTGCACAAACCTGCAAGGAGACAGTGAGTTAGTCTGTTAAGATCTGTGGACGTCAGAAAAACAACACGCCCAGCGCTTTCGTCCCGCTGTGGAGAGCAAAGATAAATAACGATACCGGGGGTTCCTGCGCTGCTGTGATCCCAGAGGTCGGAGGTCAGCGAGCTGGCGGACTGCTGCGAGTGCTGCCTGCTCAGCCTGCGGTCGGCCCGCTCTGGCAGCCAGCCGCCACCGGGGGGCAGCGCAGCACGGGAGTCATCACAACACAGACGAGAAACAAGAAGAGGAAGAGACGAGAAATCACCACGAGACAGCGAGGAATCCACCAAACAAGAACAGACACACTGCCTTCATCATCTATTTCAACTAAACAGGAAGTGTTTTCAGACGACATCTATGGCGGAAATGTGTTTTAAATTTACTCTATTAGTTCACAAACGTGTTCAAGCAGAACGTGTGCAAGTTCTTCTTCCTTTTTCTGATAAAGTCCGGTGATAGTCTGTATTTGTCAGGTTAAGAAATTCAACAGCACCTTGAATTATTCATAGTCCTGCCAAAACTATAACTGTAGTGAGTATTTATTTGACCGGATGGTTTTTCTGGCTGGAAGTGACATTAGACGTTACATGATGCGTCGCTGCATGAACAGCATGAACAGCATGGACGCACTAAGTACATGAAGACAGCAGCTGTAGATTAAACAAAAAGAAGGTAAATGTACGACCGGTGAGGACGGTATGAGATAGAACAAAGTAAGACGGTGCATCAGTGCAGAGAAGGGGTGAACCAGAACTACAGCCTTGTACCCAGAGAGTGGGTTAAAACACACTGAGTTTACTGAAACATTTCATGCATTCACTCTTCCTCTGGCAGCCACTCGCAGGCTTGTTAATCTGCAGGTTTTGGACGAACTACCGGACATCCTGCGGAGGCTCTTGGACTGAATGTTGTCCTCGAGCGGGTCAAAGTCAAAGATGGAGCCTGGATCCGTCCTCCACACCTTCAGGTCTTCAGAGAGGAGGCAAAAACGCTGGTTATATTAACACGGACCGAGAACAAAACAAGCCTTGATTTGAACAGGCTGAGCAGGTAACAATCTGAGCATTTCCCTGTATTCAAGTAAAAGTTAATACGTGCAAACCAAAACAGAACAGATAAATAAAAACAAAGAAAAAGGGTCAGAGCTGGAACCTGGATCTGTTGAATCTGCCTGAAAACAGTAAAAACTGCACATCATCACAGTCCGACTGAACCAGTGAGTGAGAAAAGCTTGAAATCTGCTTTTTAACGAGCAGCACATAATATTTTGACACCTCTTTACCAAGACTACACCATTCATCAGAGCCAGAAACTGTAAGAATATGAAGGATCGCCACATTTTTAGCTTTCCAACGGTCCTCGAACTGCTCATAGGTGAAAGGTTCTGGTCAAATCTTTAAATTCTCCAAAAGGCTTTGAAACTTGTTGAGCGTAACATATAATTATCCAAACCTGACTGAAGAATTGTCCAAAATAACTCAAAAATCGCCCCAGATTACCTTGAAGTAGTTAAAGTTCAGTTCAAAATGGCCTTTTTTAGCCACTACAGACAACACGAGACATTTTTTTAATAAGCTTTTTGCTATTTTGGACAAATTTGGTCCAGTTTAGAGTTTTTTTTCTGATCAGCTGTAGAAAGATGTTCCACCATCATGTAGAAAGATGTTCCACCATCAGATGTAGGAAGATGCTTCACCATCAGCTGGATGTATCTCCAACAACTGGCTCCTCTGTTCTCTGGTTCTGAGCCATGCTGCATTTATTTATTAATCCAGTCGGTTGGATTTTCCTCTCAGTCTAAAACTCTCCAACAGGATTTGAAACTTGTCCATCGTAACATAAAACTGTTGTTACAGATTTGTTTAAAACGACACACTTGAGTCATGACAGACAATTAGAGACACTTTTAGACCGTTAAAGCAGAAGTGGAGGTTTGCTGACCTACGATGATGCCTCCTGGCCGCCTGTCCATCTCCATGGCCTGGGGGTGGATCCCTTTGCTGTAGGCCGCCTCCCCCATCATCTGATTGGCTCTCTGGTAGCGCTCCATGCTGGGGTCGTCCAGTCCCGGCGTGCAGCCTCGACCGCGAGCTCGCTCAAAGTCCTCGTGGTACTTTGCCTGTCGAAGGTCACGACAAAGAGGTCAGTCGGGACCACGCCGACGCTACAAAGCAGGTCAAAGCAACGCTGTCAGACGCCACGTCACACTCAGCTCAGGGTGCATTCGGTCAGTGAGCAAATAAAACACACACAGGAAGTGTTTTAAACGTCTTTATTCGTTAACGCACAACACTCGCATTCCAGAAGGTTAAGTGTATGTAGGAACCTTGATCGTCCAGCAGGTGTCGCCTTTGAGCTGCTTCTGGCAAAAAATTTAAATAAGACCTGACGGGATTTTGACTAAATATCAAGATCATGATTCTATGATATCATGATTTTAAGGTAATTTTTTTCTGAAGGAGCTCCTCGTCACACACGACTTATTGAAGGACAGCTGGAAAGTTGAAAATCTGTGAATTCATTTGGTTTGTATAGAGTCTGACTCTGACAAATGGTGTAATTTTGTTGATTATTTTTATAAAGACATTATACCTTTCAAACCGCAAAGTTAATACTGATGAGGATTTGACATTTTATCGTCCAGCAGGTGGCGCCTTTGAGCTGCTTTTGGCACATTTGTTAATGAGTCATGAAGTGGTTGTGAATCAATATCATGACTCTGGCTCAGGTTTAGTTAATTTTCCCAAAGGAACTGTTTGTCACACTTGATTCATTCAAGGAGCGTTGGGAAGTTTAGAATCTGGTGATTTTTTCTGTTTTTATCGAGTCTTACTCTGATAAATGGTGTAATTTTAGTGATTTTTTAAAAAACATTTTTTCACCACCTTTGAAACCTGCTGGCGGGTTCTGGGAACCAGACAGTTATTAATGTTAAGTCAAAATCACTTATATATAAATATTCTAATAGCATATTATTAGATAAAGATGAAGCTTTGTTTCCATCCTGCATGAAAATAGACTTTCCCTATTTACAACTTACAGTAAAGAACACATTAATATTATTATAAGTACTACTGGTACTAATTCATCCTCACATGTGCCTACAGCTGCATGTTATTTAAGTACATTTTATTTATTTTTATGTATTGCTAATAACAGATAACTATGTGTACGTTTACTGAAGTAATTTGTGTGTTCAGCAAGCTTAGCTGTAAAGGGAACCAGATGTGATGTTCTAAGTAGATTAAGTCTAGTCTAAGTTTGTAGTAAAGTTTAATATTTACATGTTAAGAATCAAATTAGAGCTGCACAGTAGAGATGAAGGTGAAATCAGTGACGCCTAGAATATCAGTTCAGACCCAAAGTTAAAGCAGGTTAGACACACAAACGCACACACAGACACACAAACACACACACACAAACACACACAAAATACACAAACACACACACAGACACACACACACACACACACAAACAGATACACAGACACACAAACACACACCAAATACACAAACACACACACACAAACAGACTCAGACAGACACACAAACACACAGAACTCATACACACACGAACAAACACAAACAGAAAACACTCCCTCTATCACACACACACACACACACACACACAAACACACACACGCACACACACACACACACACACACACAAACACACAGCTCCGTCCTCCACGTTGCCCCGGCGACGGTGGTTAGTAACGGCGCCACGTCACTCTCGTTAGCTCCCGCACGGCAACCAGACGGCCGCTACCATGGAGACGGAGTCCTGCGACTTCCTGACACGCCTGTACTCAGGTGTGTCGAGCTCGGTGCAGCTCCGCCCCCTCAGCTCCTGCAGGCCGCGCCGGTACTTCACCTGTCCACACACACAGATCACACCTCGCATCACGCCGACGGAGCGACAGGATCACAGAGAAACAAGAGGGAAAGATTTAAGAGGGGCGACCAGAACCTGAGCCGCGACCTTCTGCAGTCCAGCCGGAGGTAAACACTACCTGGAGCTCCAGGTGAGCTGGCTGCTGCTGCTGTCAGAGCGAGCATCGCCACGGCGACGCTGCTGACGGACCTGAACACTGACTAACGAGAAGCTGCAGGAAACGAGGCTGCAGCTGAAAACCAATCAGGTCGAGGCTCCTCAGGACGCCTCGGTGCCGCGTTAGCTTCGTTATGCAACGCCAAGTCGGACATAAACACAACAAGACGTCAAAGTCTATAAACATAGTACTACTAATACTACTACGACTACTACAACTCCTGCTATTACTACTACTAGTACTACTACCAGGACTACTACGACTGATACTATTACAGCTCCTACTACTACTACAACTACTACTACTACCACCACTACCACTATTACACCTCGAACTACTGCTACTACTACCATGACTACTACAACTGATACCATTACAACTCCTACTACTATTACTACTAGTACTACTACCACGACTACTACGACTGACACCATTTAAACTCCTAATACTACTACAGTTACTACCGTCACAGCTCCTACTACCACTACGACTACTAGTACCACTACTACTACCACTGCTTCTTCTACCCCCTTTTTTTACCACCACTACAAATACCACTACATGTACTACTACCCGTTCTGCGGGTACAATTACAACTCCTACTACTACTACTATTAGTGCC